ACCTGCCAAGCGAGATATGGATCGTACGCTGCAAATCGTGAAAATATTTCCTATTATTGAATGAGAATAATATTAAGGACATCAAAAATTAAGAGATAATTTTCAGATATATATGTATTTATTCATGAAGAGTAAAATAAAAACTTGACTTTTTTCTATAAATATCTTCAATATTGATTTATAATGATGTTCAATCTCTATTTAAGAAAGTAGTTAATAAGATATTTTTTTAAATATATATGAAATTTGTTAATTATATTCTTAATTATTCAGCCTTAAAAACCTACATTTTTTCACAAATTTTGAAAAAATTACTGCCCTATAACTAATTCTATACTACCAGTCCTTAGGCCAAAAAATTATTTCGCTATCTGCTACACTTGATAGTTGTAGGCTGATCAAATAAGAAATATTTGAAGTAGTTAACTTATGGTTTTAGGTTCCTTTTGTTTAAAATAGTAGGTTGTCTCTATTTTTCTATTCAAGTTCCATCTTAATCAATGAAAGCTTTTTCATCTAAATATGGAACAAGTAATTTCCTTCATCTGCTAATGAATTATATAAAAATTATAACTTATTAACATATTACTTTTCTACAAAAATGAGGATGCTTAGCTCATTTGGATTAAATGGGTTGAAAAGAAAGTTATAGCAGAAAAAATTTTAAACAGAATTTATGAATATGGATAAAATAGTACCTTATGTAACCAAGAAGATGAAGAAAAAGAGGTAACAACTTTAATTTTTAAGATATTACAATAAGAAGACTTAAAGACTGAAAATATCGTCAAATTTAATGTGATCATTTTTGAAAAGCAGCAAAGATTAAATAATAAGAAAGGATGGTTTAAAAATAGCAGCGCTGTTTATATAAATTGAAAAATAATAGATTATTAAATCTTTAGCCTCTCTAATTTACATTTAAAAACTAAGTTGATTCCAAAGGTTGTAAAGAATTGTGGAATTTATTAAAAAAGGTTATACATCCGCATTCCGTGTATCTTTAAGTTTTTCTCTATCTTATTAATTACTTCATCAATGCTAATCCAATTATTATTCTAATTCAATTTTTAACTCTTTAATAATTGAACAATCAATTTTTATAATTTTTTTGCCATTAATTGTTCTTTCAATATTTTCTAGAAATCAAATTTTCTCCATTCAATAATTTTGTAAACCACGGTTCCTTTTTTTTAAAACAATTATTTCGATAATATGATCAAATCATATTCCATTAAGAGCCTTCAAATCTGGATTCCAAATTCAAAATCTCCTTTAACATTTGACAGCAACCTATCTACCACCATCAATGAATACTCTGAAAAAACACCAATATTCCCCTAATAAATAAGATCATCTTAATAAATAGTTTCAGATATTGATTCGAATTTCAACCTTAATTTATAATCCTATTGTACTAAAAGGAAAATTAGAAACAAATAAAAAAATTTAAAATAAGGGTTTCAACAAGAAACTAAATTTAAGAAATTTAGAATTATAAATTTTGTTTTATTTTTTGAGTGATTTGGTTTTCTTCCATTTAAACTATATCCTCACAAATTTTGTTCAGTTAAGAAACGTGATTTTCTTATTAAAAAAAATACTGTAAGGTATTTTGCAAGTATTATTCCAAATTCTACATATGTTAGTTCAATTATGCATTATATGACAAGCAATTCTCAAAAGAAACTATCTATTTTTAGATAATAATAAACATACTACTAAAAATCTTAAAATTCAGATCATACTGTTGCTCTTTAAATCCATAAAAAGGAAGTCTATTTTATCATAATTAGTTTATTTTATTTGCATTCAATCATCTCATATACGTTTTGGTTGCGAATACTGATATCATTGATCTGGATTATCTACCTAGGGTTATAAAAAGATAGTTTTTTTTGATTTAAAATTTTAGCTTTAAAAAGATAAATATTTATCATCATCTATAATGGCTATTCAAAAGATAATAGTTGAAGTATTCTTCTTTATACAGAAACCAATTAAAATTGGCTACTTCATTTTTCTTAAAGTTAAAATTAGTCAGTTAAATTTGATATCTAAAAATTAGAGCAGTAAAAATAAAATATGAGTTTTTCTCCAATCAAAAAGGCATCTCTATTCGATTACTGATGATTAAGGATAAGAGGAAAACTTTATCTTTGAAGTCCTGATTCTGTGAATACAAAATGTTATAGCAAACTTTCAATTGAAAGATGAAAAAAGGAAACTTGATATAAGATAATTAAGAGTATTGTTGAAGTTTCTTTGGTTGAAATAGCATTTTCAATACCTAATCATCAATTCAATACAGAATGTCTGTTTCAGAGATTTTTGCATTAATTTTAAGCTAACATTTTCCGCTTTAGATATCATTATCTTTCTTAATATGGGATTATGTGGAAACGACCACTTGATTTTGTTTAACCAGCTTGCATTACCTATTAATTTGATACTTTTTTAGACTATTACTTGATTAACATGAGATATTAGTTTTGCAATATCTTAGACTGTTAGCCAAAAAGTATACGGTTTCTGCTTCTGCCATATACTGAAGTTTTTAAAAGGTAGGTCTTCTTGAAAACACTAATTTTTTGACATTGATGATACTTACTTTCATCTTAAGTAAGGAAAATCATTTATTTTTTTTAAATAGAGAACAGTGAATAGAATAATTAAACTTAATATTTTGGTTTGGCTTCTTTTAATATATTTGATGAATCTATTTTAAGGAAATACATTTAATTATGAATAAAAAGTGAAAGCGATAACCATCAATGAATTGAAAATAGAAATTGAAAACAAATGTAAGAATAGCATTGCATTAAAAAAAAACAAGTAAATTAATATGAGAAATTATGTATAAATATTAATTCTAATGAATTTTTATTAAGCATGTATAATTACTAATCTTCAACAGCTTTGTATGCTTTTGTTATTGAAATTCATCTATAAACAATTCAAACAAAACAGACTTACACTTTTGAGTTTGTCCTTTGTTATTATGAATGTACCCCTTTCTAATTCTTGGCAAAATCAATCAATATCAATTTACAGAATAATTTTATCAGAAAAACTTGGGAATTATCTTCAAATTAATATGAAATTTTAACCAAAATTCATGTAAAACTGTAACTCTTCTTTAAATAGAATTAGTGCAATTATTAGGGAGGATGTAATTTTGCAATTTAAATATTTTAAATGCTATTTTGCAT